GCCACACGAGCGGTGTCAGGGGGCCGGGAGGGAGGGGAGACAGAGGGGGAGGAGGGCGATGGGGAGACGGAGGAGGCCCCCGCACCACCAAAGATGCTCAGGCGGCCGAAGGTGTCGGCGAAGGACGACCGGCGGCCGCGTTGTTGGGCTTGCTTGGCGCGTTCCTGGGCCTGTCTGCGCTTGGTCCGGTCCTGGATGAACTGCTTGTGCCGTTTGGCGCGCTCCGCCTCGCGGGCGGCGTTGGCCTCCACTGCGGCCTTGACGTCGTCGGTCGAGTAGAAACGGAGCACACCTAACCACCCCACATGACACGGGAGAGGAAGGTGTGACAGGCGCGAAGCGCGAAGTTCTTCCTGACGGTGTTGTGTTACCGTGTTGGTTGACTCTCCCAGGGAAGGTGAGGATGTCGCCGGTCATGTCAGCCGGGTCGTACTCCCCCAGGTCGCCCTCCTCGCTCTCCACCCACAGCTGCCCCTTCTGCGTGCGGCGCATCGACCGCTCGAGCATCCTCTCGAACTGTGTCTTCTTCTTGGGCATGGCGTGGGGCTTGGGAATGGCGCACCCGGCCACCTGCACCGTCACGAGCACCTCCTGGCCGCGAAAGGCGGGGTCCGTTATGTACAGGCCGCGGAAGAGGCGCACCTCCAGACGCATCGGGGTGGTGTCCTGGTGGACAGAGAGACAGAAACGAGTACATGGATGGATAGATGGTCGGCGACTCTCTCTTCTCTCTCTCTCTCTCTCTCTCTCTCTTGTGTGCGTGTGTGTGTGTGTGTGTGTGAATGGCACATCGGTGGGGGGCCAGTTGCGCTTCCTGGATGGCCGTCGAGTGTCCCATGAGAGGCAGAGGGATCCCCTGTAGGTGGACGGCGGGACGATGCCGCCCCGGATCATGGCCAGCTCGTGGTCGGGGCGGGAGGAGTGCACGCAGCCCCCATACAGATGGTACCATTGCTGCACGGAGGCAGGGGAGGGAGAGGGTGGGGGTGGGGGTGGTTCTCTTTGTGAGTGTGTGTATGTGTGGTGTGTGGTGTGTTGTGTGTGGTGTGTGGTGTAGTGTGGTTACGCGTTTGTTTGGCCTGATTGACCAGAGCGCGAGGGACCCGATCAGCTCCTCCATCTTCATCGGGCCCATCGAGTCGTCATCCAACAGGTCTATCTGCTCAAACAGACAAACCCACCACATGCTTCCACGATGCCTGCCTGTCTGGCTCCCTCCGTCACTCAGCTCGTTCCTTACCTCAATCTTGGTCCGCTGCTCCCCTCTAATCTGTATCTGGATGGGCTGCCAGGCGACCCTCCGCTGCATCTTGACCAAGCGGGCGGTCTCGGCGCGGTCGCGACCGATCGACACACTGACGAATGGATAGCGAACACACACATGGATGCGCTGTGTGCGTGTGTGGGGTGGGGGAAGAGGGGGAGGGGGAGGGGGAGGGGAAGGGGGGGAGCACCCACCCACTCTGACGCTTACCGGAGGAAAGGGTCGCACAGCCGGCCGACCATGGTCTTGCTCCAGGCCTTGTCCATCTCGGGCAGATTGTCAGCTGACACCCACACACACCCACACCCACACCCACACACACATGTGTGTGTGCTTGTGTGGTGGTGGTGAGTGTTGGCTGGCTGGCTGCCAGACTGACTGACTGACCGTAGGCGTAGAGCCAGAAGGGTTTGGGTGCGGAGCCCTTGCCCCCCGCCCACACCCCTTTGCTCCGGGGCGGGGCCTTGATGTCGTAGACGTACTTATGCGGGCCGTCCTCAGACACGTACAGGTCAATCTGATTTTAAGACCGATCGGACCGACAGACGTGTCGATGGATAGGTGACGACATCTGATCTGGATGGGTGAACGGTCACGTCTGTGACGTACCATGAGCTGGGCAGATCCCCTCTCGTGGATGCGGTCGAAGGCCACGCCGACCATCGCACGGACCTCTTTGCTCTCCTCTGATGTGATCACCGACATACCACATTTGCCACACACACCACACCACACCCTCTCAGCCGTCGGCTCACCGAGTTCCGCCTCGACCACGTCGAGTGTGTCCTCCCAAGCGCCCAGCAGCTGCAGCAGCGGCGTCTCGCGCACCCCAATGCCGCCCTGGTGCTCCTTATCGTCAAGCCAGTTTGTCCACTCCACCCTCTCCTGGCTCCCAACGCTGTACCGACGGCTGTCGGAGCGTGTCTTGTCACCACCCTGCTGCTGTTGGTGGAGGGAGGCCAGCCGGTCTGGCGGGGAGAGAGGCATCGGGGGCGACTCGAGATCGAGGTTGAGGCCGCCGGCTGATGCTGCTGCTGGGTCGGCTTCTTCTTCTGCAAACAGAGAGAGAGAGGGGAGCAGAGAGAGAGAGAGAGAGGGAGAGGGACGTCCACCTCTGTGTGTGTGTGTGTGTGTGTTCGGGGAGGGGAGGGGAGGGGAGGGGAGGGGGGGGCTACCCACCTGGCATCGTCACCGTGTGGGCGAGACCACCCCCACCACCCCCACGGGCGGCGTTGTCGGCCTTGATGCTGAGCAAGGACCACTTGAACTTGCGCATCTGCTTCCTCTCCTCATGTTTGATCTTCTTGAGCTCTTGGGCGTGGTCCCGCATCCGCTGCCGCTCCTCCTGCCGCCGCTGTCGCTCCAGGAACTGGGCCTCGCGACGACGCTCACGGGTACACTGGTCCAGAAGGGCTGGAGACATGCAGAGATCCACAGAGAGAGGGAGAGAGGGAGAGAGGGAGGGAGAGAGAGAGATTGGGGGGCGGGAGAAGGGGTGATGTGTGTGCGCGTGCCTTCTGATGCGGTGAGTATTTCGACTCTGAGTTTGTATGAGAGCAGCCGGGCGCGGTCGGCGTCGAACTCAAAGATGTGTGTCCACCTGCAGCAGGGCAGACACATAGACGAGAGAGAGGCAACAGCGAGGGAGGGAGGGAGGGATGGATCGGGTGCACTTTCGCCTCGGTAGGTTAGGTACCCTTCCTGGTTCTCGCCCAACGCGGCCACACGGCCGTCCTTCTGAAAGGCAGACAGACAGACAGATGTCGCCGCACAGAGAGAGATCAGCTGACTGACCAGTTTGGCAGGCGGCCCGAGGATCGTCTGCCCCTCACGCCGGTCGCCGAGCTGCGACAGACAGGCACAGACACATCACATTTCGTTCCTCGCGTCCACGCCTATGCCAGCCCAGTCTGTGTGTGTGTGTGTGTTGTGGCCACCGCATACTTACAATGAGTTTGGGCACGACGATGGTGTTCTTCATGGGCCGGTCCACCTTCATGTCCAGCACGGTCACCTGCAGCCATACACACACACACACACACACACAGAGAGAGAGAGAGAGAGGGAGGGCGGATACACACTCTGTCTGTCTGTCTGTGTGTGTGTGTGTGTGTGTGTGCTGACCGCCAGGCAGTATCGCTGCACCAGGTTGCTCTCTTCGATAGGTGCGCTGGTGCTCAGCTTGACCAGATCGGGCGCGTTCTCTGACCGACCGACCGACACACACGCACGGCCATGCATCGGCTCGGTCCATGCGCCCTCCCTCCATCCCTCCCTCCGTCCGTCCCTCCCTCCCTCCCTCCCTCCTCACCGAGTGAGTCTGTGACCTGGTAGGCCACGAAGAGGCGGCTATCCCTGACACGATACACACACGACACACATAAGCGTGGATCGTTGTGTGTGTGTTGTAGCCAGCATTGTGTGGTGTGGTGTTCACTTGTTCCCGGGGACGTTCTCCAGCTCAAGCAACTGCGAGGCACAGACAGACAGACAAACAGACAGACAGACAGACAGACAGTGAGAAGAGTGTGTCCAGCGAGTGGAGTGAATGAAATGCAGTGCATCTTTCCATCTCTGGCGACCCGCGTAGATAACGTTAGTTAGGTACCTCTCGGTTGATGCGCCGGTCTGTGGTGCCGATCCTGATCGGTCAATCGAAACATAGCATAGACACACACATGCATGGCCTCGCCTCGCATCAAGCCAAGGGGCCCTCCCTCCCTCCCTCTCTCCGTGTGTCTGTGTGTCTGTGTGCGCCTACGGCAGGGATGCGGTTCCCAGCAGGTCGTCCTTGGACAGAAAGTCGTAGTCGAACACCTTGAACAGCAGCTCCTGGATCAAGACACACACACACACACACACACACAGAGACTGGTTGATCGGTTCGTTCTCATTCACTCACACCCATGCCGTTGCTCACCCACCCCTTGTTTGCCAATTATCTCCGTTTCCCAAGTGTCGTTCCACACGGGGTTGAGCGACTTGGGCACCACACGAGTCTTGTGGGACTTGCCCTGGAAACTGACACACACACACACAGACACACACACACAGACACACACACACAGACACACACGCACAAAGAGGGCGTACAGGCAGCAAGACACCCACTGCCGCTCCTCTCTCTCTGTCGGCAGCACTCACTGCACGACGACATAAGGGTCCGAGGAAGTGATATCCCCTATAGCGAGGTTCGAGGCGCTCAGCACGGTGAGGCGCAGGTAGGCGGGCGGGTCGTGGACGTCCCTCTCGATGGAATAGATGTTCTCCTCCTCCGGCTGCGGGGCGCTGCACCAGTTGAGCATCATCTTGGCCTGCTTCTTGGCGAGCTCGTGCTCCAGCGTCTTGGGCTCGTCCTTCTGCAGACCCTTGGACAGCTCTGATATCACCGACGCCGCGTTGGCGGCCTTCCACATCAAAGTGTTCTTCATCTTTAGCTAGATAGATCTACGTGCCGGGCGGGCTGGCTGGCGGAATGGGATGAGTCAGCTCAGCTGGGGCGGCTCTGGCTGTTCTGTTGTTGGCTTTTGTTGGCTGCTTCAGCACCCCACCGCACCGGCCTCAGCGGCATGCGATGAAACTCATGTGCGATTTCTTCAGCGAGTCGGCAGATATGAGCCGACCTCTCCTGAGGCATCTGCACACATTGCTGATCCGATCTCTCCAGAGGCTCGCCGAGAAGTGTGTTTAAAGGAGATCAGCCGCCCTAAGCCCGAAGATCTGCGCGGCCCGATGGCTGTAATGTGCCAAGCCGAGGGCAGTATTCGCTTGCCGCGGCTGGGCTGACCCTTCATCCGTAAGTGACACACATCACATCGTCTCTCTCTGTGCCATGCCTTAGTGCATGACGGGTGTCTGCGTGACCCGTTCGGCCCTCCCCCTCGCCCCTCCCTCCACCCATGGATGCCCTCACCTCCCCCACCCCCCCGCACCAGCAGCAGCCCCCTCTCAGACTGACCACCCTGCTGTAGCTGATTCACTCCCGCACACCACGGTGCTCGACCTGCCCCTGCGGACGCCCGACTCCATAGTGGCAGCTGTGCTGGACTGGGGCGAGTCCACCGACGAGGACGACGCAGAAGCGGACGACGGCGCGCATTCACGCGCAGGGGCAGAGGATCATCATTGGATTGACCCTGCTGTTGGTGCTGGAGCTGAAGAGCTTCATCTCTCTCTTTGTTGCAAGGAGAGGGCCTTGGTATTGCCTGCTGAGGGAGAGGGGGACGACTGCGTGGGGTTCTTCCAGCGGTCGACTGACATGCCGGCGGCCGACACCGAGATGACCCACTCTATACTCGCGGTTCATCCCATCTTCTGCGCAGACATGGACACACACGGGGGGGCCAGGGGCGGTGGCCGGGGTGGCAAGGGGCGCACAAGCAGCAGCGGCAAGGCACCATCCATCTCCACATCCACACCCACACACACAGCCACAGCCACAGCGGTGCGGCAGCATCATCAGCAGCAGCAGCACTGGCCCGTGTCGATTCTCAAGCGCAAGGCGACTCCCACCGTCAGCAAGCAACCGGAGGGCACGCAGGCGAGCAGCGAGTCGGATACCGATCACCGCCTTAAGCAGCCCGTGCTCTCGCGGCATGACTCGATCGTTTTGCGCAAGGGGCAGCTGCAGGCCGACATGGACGGCAAACAGCACCAGAAGAATTGCGGCAGTGACTGCTGTGGGAAGGTGGTGGACGGGGAGGCTCTCGCCATGCCCGACGGCTGGACCTCCTTCGCCCCAACGGCCTCCTCCTCCACGACCGTAGACAGCCCCACCCCAGTACCTGTCAGCTTCCCCGCCCCCAACGACACCGACACCGACGCACACGCGGCACCGGCTGCATGTGACAGCACCAGCCTCCCCTCGGACGAGCCGTCCTCGGCCGACGACCACCTACTTCTTTGCCCCACTGCCACCGCCAACCACACGGACGGTCGTCTGGGTGGTGCTGGGTTTGGGTCGGTTGAGGCGTGTGTCAAGAGCGGGACTGATGTGAGCGGCATGAGTAGTGGTAGCGTGTTGACGGAGGGAGGGGAGGGGGAGGTAGAGGGAGGGGGGGAGGAGCCGGTGGATAGTCTCGGACGACTGGTGGAGTTTTGTGAGGACGGACGGCGCATCCGGAGGGACGCCTGGGGCACACCGATCGGGGCAGAGGGCGGCAGGCACAAGGTCAGTCAGTCAGTCGGGCAGACAGGCACACAGCAACAGCACCATGGATGGATGGCACATCTGTCTGTCTGTCTGTCTGCCTGGCTGTGGGGTCTTGTCAGGTGACGTTTCGCGACGCCATTCTCAACGCGCCTCTGTGCGACGTCCATGTGTCGTGGACGCACTACCCCTCGCCCTCATGCAAGACACAGCCGCCCTGCTTCCCCCCATTCCGCCTGGCACACCTCTCCCCCACACGACTCTTCCCGCCACAGTCGCCCATGGCACGACGGCTACAGCAGCACCAACACCAGCAGCTTAAGCAGAGGCCGCCACACCCACACGCCCTGCCGGCCCCCCCGACCACTCTCGACCCCAACAGGATGGCCGTCGACCCCGCCAGAGTTGACTACCTGGATGTGGCCGTCCAAGAGGACCACCGCATCACGGGAAATGGGCGTGTGGTGGCCGTGCGGCTCAGCAGAGGGGCGCGGGACGATGCCGATGGCCATCATGGCGCGATTGGGCGGTCGGTGTCTGCGCCCGCTCTCGGGGGCCGGCTGCCGCTGCGTGTGTGCGACCAGTCGCCTGTGAGCCTGCACGGGGTGTCGGTTGCGTACGAGGTGCGCGAGGGCTGTGTGGATGGGGTGGGGGGGCTGCTGGGCGAGGAGGTGGGGGTGAGCGGCGATGGGTATGGGGACGGGTGGGACGATGTGAGACGCAGGAGGGGCAAGCACAAGGCGTGCGCCATCATGTAGCCACCAACTACCTACCTAGCCTAGCTAGCCAGCCAGCCGCGGGGAGCGGGATCTTTTTTGACGTCCCGTCTCCTCTCCCCCCCCCCTCTCTCTGTCTGTCTGTCTGTCTGTGCGTGCGTGCGTGTGTGTGTGGAGGGGGTTGGTTGGTGTGGGTGTGGGTGTGTCTTCTTTCTCGCCTCGCCTTGTGAGCGAGTGGCCGGGTGGGTTGGTGGGGTGGGTTGGTGGGTCCTTCTTTCTTGATGCATCTCTTTCTCCCTGTCGGTCTGTCTGTCTGTCTGTCTATGTGTCTATGTACTGACTGATTGCATGGAATGCATTCCAGGAATGGATGGCTTTATCCATCTCTATCTATTATATACTCAATCTATCAATCGTCGAGTGACCGGATGGACGGACAAGTATGCCTAGTCACACAGGGGGGCAGGAATGGATGGATCGGCCGACCGATGAATGCATTAGCGAGGAAAGGCGGTGTGTGTGTGTGTGCGGATCGATCGCTCTGTGTCGAAGTGGCCTGTTTTGCTTGCCATGTGCCACAGTTAGCAGAGCCGAGATTCGTGACATGTGGCTTCTTCTCTGATGGATTGCCTGTCCGCCTTTCCTCTCTCTGTTGTGCGGGGGATGGCAAGCTGACTGACAAGCAGAAAGGACGGACCGATCGAGATGGATGGACAGAAATGAGATGCATTGCATGCGTGTGGTTGAACGAACAAGATTGCCCCGTGTTGGTGGTTGAACGAATGAACAAGATTTTCGTTGGCTGTGTCCTGTGTCCGTCCAGCTAGTTGCCCTGCGTCAAGTCAATGGCTGCCTGCCTGCCTGCGTCAATCAAGTGACTGACTGACTGACTAGCTGACTAACTGACTGACTGCAGGCGTAGCTGCCCTCACTGTTCATACGCACACACACCTCTTTCTTCCTACTTACACGTACTATCAGCGCCGCTCACTGGGAGGATGCCTGGGCTGCACACTATGGTTGCAGGGGGCGTGCCAGTGCAGCAGAGCAGGTGGGGGCGGGTTGGCTGACTAAGTGACTAACTACCTCTCTGGCTAGGGTTCAAGTCAATGGCTGCCTGCCTGCCTGCGTCAATCAAGTGACTGACTGACTGACTAGCTGACTAACTGACTGACTGCAGGCGTAGCTGCCCTCACTGTTCATACGCACACACACCTCTTTCTTCCTACTTACACGTACTATCAGCGCCGCTCACTGGGAGGATGCCTGGGCTGCACACTATGGTTGCAGGGGGCGTGCCAGTGCAGCAGAGCAGGTGGGGGCGGGTTGGCTGACTAAGTGACTAACTACCTCTCTGGCTAGGGTTTAGACTTTGTCCATAGCGCTGCTCAATGAATGAATCGATGGCTGATGAGTGGATGAGTGGATGGATGGATGGAAAAGATCACAACAAGGGGGTTGGGCGTTTTGTGACCTGCTGCCTGTCTGCCTGTCTACCCGTTGATCGTCGTAGCTAATGTCTCTCTCTCTGCTTTGCTCTTCTCTCTCCTCTCGTCTGCTCGTCTGACGCTCTCGCCTCTCTGCTGTCTGTCTGGTGGGCAAACCCGCTGAGCGACTCAAGTGAGTGACTTACCTTTATCTGCCACACACATTTTTGCCTTCTTGCTCTCTTGTCGACTCTCGTCTCTCCTGTCTGTCTGAGATCGTTCTCGTTGTGGCCTTTTGTCCCGGTGTGTACAACAACCCCCTCTCGCCTGCTCGTCTGTCTGTCTGTCTGTCTGTAGGCGACGCCACTCCTCTCTTGCACCGCTCGCTCACACATCTTCATGGCTGGCAGGACTGCTCACACACACACGGACACTCGCTACGCTACGCTACGCTACGCTACACGACCCATTTGTGCGACATGCATGGTGATTTCACTCAGTCACTCACTCACTCAGTCCCTCACAGTAGCTCGATCGCCTCCTCACCCTCGTCTGCCTGCCTGCCTGCTCGTACCGCATCGTTGGAACCGATTGCGCCTGCACGTGTGTGTGTCTGTGTGTATGTGTGTACTGACTTACACTGCTCCATTTGTCATGCCACACATGTCCATGGTCGACGCTGCCGAATTCTGTCTGCCTATCTATCTATCTATCTGCTGCCTCCCTCACTCCCTCGCCTGCCTAAGTGCTGTCTGTGATGCGTGGCTGGGATGCGTGGAGGACACACACACATACACACCAGATGGCGTGCGGACCTTTAAGCGATGACGTCCCATGAACCCCCTGGTCATTTAAATACCTCGGATGGGGGAAAGATCCATTGTACAAATCATCGTCATCGATCACCGTGAGTGTCAAAGGTCCGCCCACCGCCCTGCCTGCCTGCCTGCCTCATCCGATACATCCATCCATCCACCATGACGCAGCACGCAAGCGACAGCGGGGCAGGCAGACAGGCAGGCAGGCAGGGGCGGCCATTCGTTCGCACCTACCTGTCTGTCTGCATGGCACTACTCCACAAGCAGCCGTGCACTGCACACTCGCGTCCATGCATGTAATGTCAGGTCAGGCCAGGCCATGACACGTTCTATCTAGCTCGCCCCATCACCCCCAGCCCCCTCACTCCCCCCGGGCCCCTTCTGGCCACTCCCCTCTCCACGGCCCAGCAGCTGCATTATCACATCCTCGGCCCGCCGCGGCAGTTCCTGAGCCATAGCGGCAGAAAGGGCCCGTCCCAAGGGCTGCTGCTGCAGCTGCTGCTGCTGCAGCTGCTGCTGCTGATGCTGCTGCTGTGGCACACTCAATCCACTCGGGCCTGTGTTGGTGTTGGTATTCGGCTGACCCCGGTGCAAAATGCCTCTCCCCAAGCCCCGTGAGAAATCGAAGTTCTCCGACACAGCTCGGTCCACAAAGGAGCCTGGCGCATGGTGGTCGACAACCATGGCTGTGGCTGCTGGGTCCTGCTGCTGGTGCTGGTATTGTGGCTGGGCCATGTCGAAGCCGCCTCCAGGAGTGTGTGGCTGCGGGAAGTGCGACAGCTGACGGCTGGCAGCAAAGGGGACAGGCATGCCGATGTTCCGTGGGCACGGCCGGTTCTGCCGCGTCATTGGCTGAGGGGTGTAGGAGTACTGCCTCTGAGCGTTGTCATCCCCACTCGGCCCGAAGCTGCCGTCGGGATGGCGCACCCATAGCCCATGGGGTGGGTGTGGGGGAGGGGGAGAGGGCGCCTGGACGACCATAGCAGCGTTGGAGTCGCTCTCCTGCCGCGGCAGCGCCACATGTGGTGGCTGTTGGTGCTGGTGCTGTTGTTGGTGTGGGAGGTACATTGGAGGGGCGAAGGGGGGCGGCTGCTGGCTGTCTGGCAGCTGCATCACGATGGCGGGGCCGAACAGCTGACCGCCGCGGTGTGGATGCTGCTGCTGCTGCTGCTGGTGTTGGCGTTGGTTGTGGGGGCTGCCATCGAGCGATTCGGCGGCGGTGTGGGGGAGGGGGAGAGGGTGTATGTGGTGTTTGGGGGGCCTCTTGCTCTTCCGTCCTCTCTGCACATACGAGTGGGGGTACCCGTCGTTCTCGGGAAAGCTGCATGGGACCCTGTTGGAGCGACCGCGGAATGACACAGACAGACAGAGAGAGACCATTGATTGACACAGACCCACACCTGTTTGGCCTTCCACTACCCATCTACCGACCCGTTGTTAGCCTGGCAGGCGGGGCAGGCCGGCTCGTATTTGGGCGGCTCTAACACGCTGGTGCGGGGCGTGAAGTAGGGGCACATCGGCTTGTGCCCTGGTGGCGGCCCGGCCGTGGCCAAACCGCCAGACATCCACAACACAACAGAGATCAGATGTCACCTCACCCACCCATCCCACCGATTGTGTGGGAGCGTGTCTGGCGTGGCGTACATACATCTGTTGTCGTGTGCCATGGGTATCTTCCTGTTGACCCCGCAGTGCCAGCAAAACTCGTGACCGCACTGACATGTCACGTGGTCACACTCCTAACACACAGACACGCACACAGACACAGACACAGACACACACGAGGGCGGGGTGGTCGTGTCGTGGTGGCCGTCAGCAGCTCTGTGCGTGCGCTTGCGTGTGCGTGTGTGTGTGTGTGTGTGTCGCTTGCCTCTTCGCTTTTGAATCCCCCGCCGTAGGCGCACTTGAGTGGGCAGGGCTTCCATCCTTCCTCTAGCAACTGGACCGGGGCAAGGTACAGAAAGGCGCTGTTTGGGCGAGGGGATGGGTGCGTGTCTAGGTGCGTACCTGTCTAACTCTGGCCTGGTGCTCTCGGAGGTCCTTCTTGTGCACCTTGCTCAGACGCTGCTCGCACGTCTCACCTGAACCACACACACACCAAGACACACACCAAGACACACACACGTGTGCCGTCCGTCCGTCCATCCATCCATCCATCCACTCTCGGTTTGCCCACCTCTATGCGGCCCGTGCTCGCACTGCCACCAGCCAGCCAGCCAGCCAGCCACAGATAATTATCACAGAGAATCAGACGGATGGATGGCTATCTCCCCC